TGAGCGTCCAACTTTAGCCGGGTCACGATCTCGCGGTCCGTGAGTTCAAGCCCCGCGTCGGGCTCTGGGCTGATGGCTCAGAGCCTGGAGCCTGTTTCCGATTCTGTGTCTCCCTCTCTCTCTGCCCCTCCCCCGTTCATGCTCTGTCTCTCTCTGTCCCAAAAATAAATAAAAACGTTGAAAAAAAATTTTTTTTGAATAGGGTAGTACCTAACATTTAATGGGTACTCAGTAGATGATAGCTATTATTATCGATAAAAGTCACCAAATACTTCCTATTATAGTTCAAGGTTAATCTCTTTTGCCACTCTTCCTCAAGACAAAGAATTGGTGTTTTCTTCCTTTTATGATTTAATAACAACCAGCTGGAGATACACTAGTAATAAATTTTAATCTATCTTGTAACTTATTACATCAAAGCAGTAATAATATCAAAGCCATAATAATTCAGTTATTATTATACCTATACTTGACTTTTTCCCTAGAATATGTTCTCCAAATCTCCATGATTCTCTTTAAATGACAATGACCTGGGGCGCCTGGGTAGCTCAGTCAGTTGAGCGTCCGACTTCGGCTCAGGTCATGATCTCACACTCCGTGAGTTTAAGCCCCATGTCGGGCTCTGTGCTGACAGCTCAGCGCCTGGAGCCTGCTTCGGATTCTGTGTCTCCCCCTCTCTCTGCCCCTCTCCTTCTCATACTCTCTGTCTCAAAAATAAATAAGAACATTAAAAAAAAAGTTAAAAAATGACAATGACCTATTTCTTATCATATGCAACTTAACAGAATCAATTTTAATTGTACTTTCTTTTTTAAAGTTTGTTTACTTATTGAGACACACACACACACACACACACACACACACACGAGAAAGGGAGGGGCAGAGAGAGAGGGAGAGAATTCCAAGCAGGCTCTGCACTGTCAGCACAGAGCCCAACGTGGGGCTCAATCTCATGAACCGTGAGATTATGCATGACCTGAGCTGAAATCAAGAGTCACACACTTAACCAACTGAGCCACCCAGGCCCCCCTAACTATACTCTTTATATCCTTATGCCATTCTGAGAACATGGCTGATATAGGAGGACTCCTACTTCACTGTAACTTCCTGTACAGTTAGTTAACATATAGCTGTCGTTTTCCTTCCTCTTTTAAAATGTTTTAAAATATTCAGGAAAAGCAAAGGACCCAAATCACAGATTTTCGACCTCAAAGTTGTCAGCCTATAATAATGAGCAAGATACTGGCATACAAAGGTAGACAAATTTGGGATGTGCTTGAGCAGCAGACTAAGGGATTTTTAGAAACGTGCTTTGCTACGTGCATGGGTTCTTTAGAATAATGAGCAGGCATGCTTGTGAACAGTGCCAGGAAAAAATTTCAAGTGTCTTCGGGATACTTAGAACAGATAGGAGAGCCTGAAATGAAAGACAAGGGAGTCTGAGAAGACAGGTGAGTCAAGTCCTCCACTTGGGAAGACCGCTCTTGGTTGCTTCCTTGTGTCCGCAGATACAGGCTAGTGACAGAGCACAGCACTTCGTGGGCCTTTCATCTACTTCAATCTTCTCTCTCAACTTCTTTCTAATTTTGCCCACCTTAATCAAATACCCTAATTTCTTGCTAGTTTACATAACCACTACTTTTTCTTTAGCTTTTCATTAACTTTTCTTTTCAATAATTTCTCTAGTCCATTGACCTTCTCCTTTTCCATATGTTTGCTGCTTCCTTTAATTTTTGCTTTATTTTTCTCCTTGGTGTTATTTTTTTTATTTCTTTGCACTCCTTTTTTCATTTCATCATATCTGACATCTTCTTTTTACTCCCCTGCCCCATATGGTTCTTTCTTTCTGCCTTTCTCCCTACAGAAGCAATGTTGGTACTTCAGGTACACATGGTTTATATATTTTAAAAACTACGTATGTTAAAGAACTTTCTTTCTGCACTGGTCGTAACAACTGCCTCACTTCTCGGAGTTAGAAAAAGTCAGTTTCTTCACCATTAGGCCCCCTATTTATTCCTCTTTTAAATCCTGCTCTTTCTTTTCTGGGCTGTTCTGATTTGCTGCAGAATTCTAACAGATTCTAACATTCTGATGTAGCAGATGCTAGGAGGGTAGACAGCTAACTGAAGAGTGGGAAAAAGAGATAAGATAGGTAAAAAATAGAATTTGGTTGTGATATTGCTGGAACCCTTAAATGACAAGCAAAAAATCTCATATACTCAAAAGTTTTATGGTCTTCCTATTGACCAAAGGAAGACCAAAGAAGCTATGAACCTATCAAAATTGATCTTACAAATTAAAATAGGTTTATAATTATGTTCCTGTTTGAGGTCTTTCCTTCTCTAACGCCTTTTTCAGCTAACTGAAAAGAGGAACCATGTGGGTTTTTTACAAATTTTAAGCGAAGTCACAAAAGAGGAAACATTTTTGGCCGAAGCCAATTTATGGCCTATATTTTCCATTGCTTTGGATGGCATTTTTTAAAAAACTAAAGTGAAACTCTGAAGAATAACTTGAGGGGTTGATGCTCTTAAGAACAGCAAGTGGGAACTGTGCATGGATAACCATCTAGAGATGATTCAAATCCCCATATTTATGCCAAAAGTTTCCATTTCTTTCCCTATTAAGCCTTTTGCAAAATGGATAGAGCATAATTTAATAACTTTGATTTCATCTTCTCTGCTTACATTCTGGCAGAAGTATTCATAGATAGTGAAAAATTGAAAAGGAAAGGAGCCATGAAGCCAATACAGGTTAGGTATTTACTAAGCTCCTAACATACATGGCTCTTTGCTGTAAAGGAGCCAAAATGTAAACCCTGAGGTGGTTTAGACGAGTAGAAAGAGCATATGCTTGTGAATCAGATGGTCCTGGGTACAAATGCCATTCTGTCACTAATAGTGACATAACACTGGGCAAACTCTTTTTTTTTTTTTTTTAATGATTTCTTAAAATGTTTATTTTTGAGAGAGAGACAGAGTGTGAATGGGGGAAGGGGCAGAGAGAAGGGAGACACAGAATCTGAAGCAGGCTCCAGGCTCTAAGCGGTCAGCACAAAGCCCGATGTGGGGCTTGAACTCACGAGCCTTCGAGCCATGAGATCGTGACCTGAGCTGAAGTCGGCCGTTTAACCAACTGAGCCATCCAGACACCCCTTTCTAATCTACATATAGTTTCTAATCATATATACCAGGATCTAACACCCTGAGATGTTCCTTTCCCTAATGTTAAGAAACAACCAAATAGTTATCATTGTGTTTAATGATTTACAAAACAGGTATATCACACCTAGTGTTGAACACCGTCTTAGTGTAACTCCTCACTTTAGAGATAAGGCAACTGAGAGCAGGAGAGATGAAATGACTAGTTCTCATAGTTACATGGAGAGTTACATGCTGGAAGTAGACCTGGAACTTAACTCTTCAAGTTTTACCATCTACCACATCCCACAAAAAGCCCTGCCTGCCAAACTTACACATGTGCCTTCTCTACCCGTGTCCATATGTTGTTTCCTTGACTGGAATATTTTATTTGCTTAATTCGTTCTTACAGACCTTTCCGAATTCAGTTCAAGTTTTACTTCTCCGAGAAACCCTGCCTGAAGACCTCCCAGGCTATGTTAGTTCCTCTGTGCATCTCTTGCATACATTTATGAGAAAACTTATTAAATTATTACAATTATTACTTGTTTCCACCACTAGAAAACTAGAAACTGTATTTTGGGTGTGTGTGTGGGGGGGTGTCTCTCAAACCTAGAACAGGCCTGACACAAAGATAGTGTTCATCGATAAATAAATGAGAGCATCGGCAAGACAACACTAACCGACTGGACAGAACGGTCTCAGATTCAGAGATCACTTAGGATTCTGAGTTGAGTGGACTCCTTTAAGAGTATGAGCTCCTAATGTAATGACATAGTGCTAGACTCTGAGGATGCTGCAGAGCCTACGAACACAGTAGACTCTGTGCATGAAAAACCTACCAAAGGCAATACCATTAATGAAAATAGAGAAGAGAGGAGTCAGTTTTGACATAAAGATGATGAAGATGGATTGATCTGAGTATGTAGGATATATACATGGAGTAGGATATATACATGGAGATGTCCACCAAGAAGTCATGGAAAGCAATTGGAATTAAGGAGATTTAGGCTGGACGTGCAGGTTTGGGAGTTATGGCATATAGGCGAGAGCTGAAATTTTATAGATTCAGGATCAGAGAAAAGCTGGTAAGAGTGAGGACTGAATACCAAGTACCCATATTTAAGAAGAGAAAAACAGGAGCTAGTGAGATTAACATGAAAGGAAGACTATCACAAAGAGCTACTTGAATAGTAGTGAAGGGACAGTCAATAGTGTCAAAAGTGGTTCAGAAAGGGAGGAAAGAAAAAGAAAGAATAAAGAAAAAGACTGTTGGATTAGGTAAGAGATGATTATCGGTGTCCTTCAAAGCAACAGGACTGGTATATTTCTAGTCGCAAGGAAGAGAAAAGTAGAGAGCATATGGAACCAGCACACAGAGCCTATGTGTTTAAGAAGTAGGACTGTGAAATGAAGGATTATGAGGTAATGAAGCTAAAGGGGTAGCAGGGCCAAGTACAGATCTTATGAAAGAACGAAGAGAGACGTTTGCCTCTGAGGTCCACGTGTTTTATGGTTAAGTTTAGGATGTTTCAAGAGTATTTACACTGCAGTGTATGAAGTCTAAATTAGAAACGATAAATACTTCTCAAATACCTACCTACTTTGTGCCAGACACCAAATAACACCTGTCTTTCTTTCTTTCATTATAAAACCACTGATAAAAAGGAAACATTCTGAAATGGATCCCAAATATTTCACCTTAATTTTGTTTTGTGGACACCTCAGTGATACATTTCTCTTAACGACAGAAGAAATTACAACAGAGTCTCCTGTATTTATATCATCAAGGCTCAATGTCTCAGCTAATTCTCAAAACACAACAGGGAATCCTTGGAGTCAACCAACAGAATTCAACCATGTTTCTTCTGCACAACCAATATCCACTGCCAAAGTTGCTGGTGGACAATCAATACCAGGGGCCTATGCTCCTTCTGAAAAACCGGCAGCGCACACTTCTGCTGGGCAACCACCTGCCTCTAACATCACCAGACAACCAATACCAACGGCCAATGCCTCCTCCCGAGAAACAGTACTCCCTGTGCTTACCTCTGCCGGACAACTACCACCATCTGCCCATACTTCTACCAAACAACTGCCGCCATTTCTCTACACTTCCACTCAACAACCATCATCTATCCACACGTCTTCTGGAAAACCAATACTACCAACTGTTCATAATCCATCTATACCACCAACCCCAAGTGTCAAAAGTTCACAGAGGGTGACTCCAGGATTCATCCTAGAAACTACCAGTAACACAAATATCCCACGGGAAACCAATTCTAATTTGACAGCTGCCACATTAGTGGGTGTAATTCTGACGTCTATGTTTGTAGCTATAATCATGATTGTGCTATGGAAATGCTTGAGAAAACCAGTTTCAAATGATCAGAATTGGGCAGGTAGGTCTCCATTTGCCGATGGTGAAACCCCCGACATCTGTTTGGATAACTTTAGAGAAAATGAAGTACCCGTGAAAAGGACATCAATTGTTTCACTTATGCCCTGGAAACCAAGCAAAAACACACTCATAGCAGATGACTTAGAAATTAAGTTGTTTGAATCAAGTGAACACATTGGAGATTCCAACAACGCCAAAACAGAGAAAATAAAAGATCAGGTAAATGGTACATCAGAGGAGAGTGCTGGGGGATCAACGATCGGCACTGCTATTTCTTCTTCAGATGATGCAGATTATCCACCACCTTCCCCACTTCTTGATTTGGAAGGACAGGAGAGTAACCAATCCGACAAACCCACAATGACAATTGTATCTCCTCTTCCAAATGAGTCCACCAATCTCCCACCATCTCTGGACTGTCTCAATCAAGTCTGTGAAGGTTACAATTCTGAGTTTGAACAATCATTTCCACCTCCTCCCGACTCGTTTCACTTGCCCCCGGCACCAGAAGATTTCATGAAAAACCAGGAAGATTCCCGCAATGAGATCCAGGGTCAGGAATTCTCTATTCCTCCTGACTCTGGTCAAGACCACAGTGAATCCTTGCCACCCCCACCTGAAGAACTGTTATAAATACTGTAATTTGCTTTTTAGCTGATTTTCCATCCTTCCTACAGAACTCCATCTTTTTTTTCTCTTCATGTGATGAAATATATTAAAAGGCAACTGGTAGCCAATTTTGATTTTTATTCAGGAACTACCTGAAATCTGCTAAAGCCCATGTGCATGGCTGGAACTTATTTTTAAAAAAATGACATAACAGTGATCTATTTACTAGCTATTGTACCTAACTTTAATGTAGAGAACATTTTACCTATGTGGATGGTATGTATGTCAGTAATTTAGCCACTTTGGAAATAAGCACTCTACATATAGTTAATATCATCTAATGGATATATACTTTTTTCCTGAATAGCTGTGTGTAAAGTTACATTGAATAAATAACACTTTGTTTTTCCATTTCAAAGTTTGAGATGGGGAGGGAGGGGATGAGAAATTAAATACATACTCCAAGTTTTAAACAAAACTCCAAATTTTATTTAAAGTTTTTGATTAAAATTTTTTTTTAAATGTTATTTCTTTCTGAGAGACAGAACGCGAGCAGGAAAGGGGCAGACAGAGAGAGGGAGACATGGAATTGGAAGCAGGTTGTCACAGCACAGAGCCTGACGCGGGGCTTGAACTCACGAGCTGTGAGATCATGGCCTGAGCTGAAATTGAGAGTCGGACGCTTAACTGACTGAGCCACCCAGGCGCTCCTTTAAGATTGATTTTAAGTAATCTCCACACACAATGTGGGGCTCAAACCTGTAAACCCAAGATTAAGAATCGCATGTTCTGCTGACTGAGCCAGCAGAGTGCTCTAAAACTCCAAATTTTAAATTAACACCTCAAGTATTAAATACATATTCCAAGTTTGTGGGGATGAGAAACCAAAATGCATGTTTGAGAATACAAAAATTTCCTTTTAGCTCTCACTGGAAATAGTAAAGCAAGTATGTTAAAACACCAAATTGTGGGGGTGGGGGTTGGATTGGGGATGTTTACTCTGAAAAAAATATAAGCATGCACCATAAACTGTAGACATTGGGGGAGCACAATTTTTTAAACTAACATCCTTTTTTAAAATTTTATTTGAGTTTATTTATTTATTTTGAGAAAGAGAGAATTCGAGCAGGGTAGGGGCAGAGACAGCAGCAGGGAGACAGAATCCCAAGGAGGCTCCACACTGTCAGCGCAGAGCCTGATGCAGGGCTTGAACTCACAAACTGTGAGATCATAACCTGAGTAGAAATCAAGAGCTGGACACTTAACCGATTGAGCCACCCAGGCGCTCCTAAAACTAAGCATCTGTAAAAATTTCTTTGTTCTATGGCTCTAGCACCCAAACAAAATGAAATCTTATAAAGGAAAACAAAAAATAAAGCCACACACACAAAACCACACTTCGATGGCTCCATTCCAAATCTGAATGATTTTTCCAAGAAAAACAGACTACATCAAACACAGATGATTCTCAACTTCCCCTAAATGGACACTTTCTCTGACACTATACATTTAAACTCTTAAACCACCTTTCCTATGCAGAACTTCGTCTTTTCTCCATTACCTGACAAGTGATGAAACTGAGTTACCAGAGTAGGGGTGGACCTAATCTTTGTCAGAGTCCAGGCGGTGAGCGTTCCTGGGCTAGGCTTGTGGGGGTGCCGGCCTGTGCCCACAGAAGTGTTTCTTTGCCCAACAAGCATGTGGTCTTCTTCCTTACCCTAGCCATCACTCAGAATAAAATGTGGTGGTCTTGTCAGTAGTTTAACCGTGAAGAACTCCTCATAACTGTGGGGGTTTTCAGAACAAATTCAGTATTTATTTGTAGCACTGGTGTTCAAGAAACTAACAAAGCTCCCACTTTAGTAAAAAAACAAAAACAAAAACAAAAAACTAGCGGGCTTTTTTGGACACTGAAATTTTATACACAATATTTCCCTTTAAATCTTTTAAACCATCCCTTACTGACCATTAAAAAGCCTTATCTGCAGAAACACTTCCTTGGACTTATTTTCCTGGCGTTTATTCCTGAAGCATGTCTCTTGCCACATTACATTGGTTCTTTGTCTCCCACTTGAAAGCGCTTCTTTCATGTTGTTTTTCAAACTTAGCATTTTTAAGGTTAATCCTACTCAGCAGCAATCAGGAGTTTAAGAATCTCCTATGAATTTCCTGAATTCTATTTAGGATAAATAAGCTATGTTTTTATATTTGGTCAAGACTTTGATGTGCTTTAAATCATCATAACCTTTCTCATTTCACATGTAAGATGGTTACTCAAGAGGCTCTTTCCACACTTTTGTTCTTCTTTCTCATTACCTTTTTTCCTGATCTCTTGAAGGATGGGTGCTGGGAAATATAGGGAAACACCAACTCTTACGGATAAATCAGGAGCCGATGACCTGGTCATAGTCCCATCTGATTTCTTCAAACCCTACATGCAGCTTTCTTCCTTCTGTTCTCTGTACAACTGAAGAACAGTCTTACTGTCAGCAGCTAGTTTTGGGTGTTGTCTTTTTTAAAAAATTCTCTGCCAGGGGGAAAAAGAATTCCCATTCACTGCATGTAATTTTCCCCACTGAGGTCAGTGGAAGCTGAGCAGCCAAACAGTGGCAATCCTTGCTTAATCAGCAGAAAGAAATGCAAGCTAATAAAAGACATCCAGGAGAGAAGAAAGTGCTGGAACAAAGAAAAACCTACAAAAAAAGATGGAAGAGCCAGGATCCAGAGTGGAAGAAAAATTCTGTTTCATGAAAATGGGAAAAGGACACGGCCCAGGGGGATAAAACATAGACTGAACTACCATACGGCAGTGGTGCTCTTACCAGATCAGCACTAACCAGATTCAGAAACAACCCTGAAGACCATCCAGTTCAACTCCTTTTATTTGTTAACTGATGAGAAAATAGGCCAGAAAGAGTAGTGACTTGCTTAGTAGTGGTGCTAAAAGCTGAGTTTGTTCCCTGACTCCTGGGTCAGGACTCTTTTCACTAGTAGAGGACCAAAGAGCACCTATGTCAGGCATTGCAACATATATGTATCACACATGTACTCCATTTGGTGTTGGTCGTGGGGGACACAATGATCTGTGCTGTAATTGTTATTACCTAGTTCTAATCAAAAAGTAACGTAGCAAAATATTTGGGCACCTATAGTTAAAACATTATAATAATCATGCACTGTGATACTTCTACCTGATTAGACAAATGGAATGCAAAGTCCAGAAATAGACTCAAATCTCAAATCAGTGGAAGAAATATGGGGACAATTGGATAGACATTTGGAAAAAGATAAAATTGGATCCATACATTAGGATAAGCACCAAACAGACCAGAGATATAAACATAAAACATGAAATTATATAAGTAATAGAAGAAAATATGAGAATTGCTTTATAACCTGGAAGAAAAAAATCTTCCCAGCTGAGACTCAAACTCCAGAAGCAATAAAAAGAAGAGGAAAATCTAATTATATAAAAAACTTTTAGGGGCGCCTGGGTGGCGCAGTCGGTTAAGCGTCCGACTTCAGCCAGGTCACGATCTTGCGGTCCGTGAGTTCGAGCCCCGCGTCGGGCTCTGGGCTGATGGCTCAGAGCCTGGAGCCTGTTTCCGATTCTGTGTCTCCCTCTCTCTCTGCCCCTCCCCCGTTCATGCTCTGTCTCTCTCTGTCCCAAAAATAAATAAACGTTGAAAAAAAAAATAAAAAAAAAAAACTTTTAACTGTCAAAAAACAAAAAGCAAATTCCACTGTAATAAAGTCAAAGGCAAACTGGAAAAAATTTGCAACCATAAGACAAAGGGCTAATATTTCTGAGTTGAAAAAAAAAATTCTGTTTGGGGGGAAGGAAGGACCCACAACAATATAGAAAAAAGTGTCCAAAATGTAAAAGACAGTCACAGAAGAAAAAATTTTAATGGCTCCTGAAAACAGAAAGATGTACAACTTTCTTCAAATTAGAGCACTGTATTTAAAATTACCCTGAGATACCGATCCCAGCGGATTGCTATAAATCCAACAGTTCAACAACAAAGTGTATGGTGAGGTGATAGAGAATGACACCGTGATTCACTGTTGAGGGGGCTGCAGAATGGTATGGACTACACAGAAAAATGCGGTAATATCCAGACACATTCCAAATGCATTTACCTTTTCACCAAGCAATCCTACTTCTAGGAACCTTTTTCAAAGATTCATCGGACAAAATATGAAGTTACTTAGGTGCCAGGGTATTCACTGGCATTATCTGTAACAGCAAAAGTCTGGTAACAACACAGATGTTCATAATAGGGACTGGTGGAATAAACCATGGTAAGTACAATCCCATAAAGAGTACTAAGCATTGTGAAATGAATGTGAAAGATCTCTATTTGCTGATGGGAAATGATCTTCAAGATACATTAAGGAAAAAAAGAATAAGATGTATAACAGCATATTTAGTATACAGCCCTTAATACAAGCAAAGGGAATAAGAACATACAATACATACATATTTTAATGTTTGCAAAAAAAAAAAAAAAACAAAAACAGACAGACAGACTGTTAAGATAAAACCAAAAGTTAATACAAATAGTCACCAATAGGAGGAAGAATAGAATAGGGTGAAGGGGACGCAGAAGCAAGATTTCTCTGAATATATCTTCTTATATAGTTTTGACTTAAGCAGTCCCTAAAAACTATTAACTAATAGAAACAAATGAACCCAACTTTAGGTAAAGTTGGTGACATAAACATAGAGAAAAAAACATTATTTCAAGTTGTATTAGACAACAGAATGGACTATACATCCTTAGTGAATTATATTCTAAGAACAAAGAGAACTACAAAGAAATCTTAAATTTTATTCAATAGTGTGTAATCTGTCTCTAGCAATATTGGCATTATCTGAAACTATTGTACGATGATATGAATGAACAATTTTGTTAATGCTGTTAGGAACCATTTATAGGAAATATGGTGGACAGAGAAACAAATTAAATGTTTACGAGGAAGCAAACATAAATCCAGAATGAATAAATGAGTTCTGGCAACAAGCCAGTGGCATGGGAAAAAAAAGGTGGGGAGGTGGGACAAGAAACTGATCCACATGGGTTCTAACCTGATCATTTCTATCTTGTCAGTTCATCCATGCCATTAAAAACTTTGTTGAGTACTCTTGTTTCCAGCAGAAAATTCAGTCTGAATAGCCAACTATGTTACCAAAAACAAAAAATGTAGTACTTTTACTCTCAAATAAGCATGACAGATGTTATGAGTATAAGAAATGAAGAAATGAAGGGGCGCCTGGGTGGCTCAGTCAGTTAAGTGTCAAACTTCAGGTCATGATCTCACGGCTCATGGGTTCAAGTCCCCTATCAGGCTCTGTGCTGACAGCTTGGAGCCTGGAACCTGCTTTGGATTCTGTGTTTCCCTCTTTCTCTGCCTTTCTCCCGCTCATGCTCTCTCTCAAAAATAAACAAACAAACAAACAAAACCCCCCCCCAAAAAAGGAAGAAAGAAAAAAAGAAAGACAGACAGACAGGGGTGCTAGGGTGGCTCAGTTGGTTAAGCGCCCAACTCTTGGTTTCAGCTCAGGTCAGGACTTTGCATTCTTTATTAGCCCTGCACTGGGCTCCGTACTGTCAGTGCTTGAGATTCTCTCTCCCTCTCTCTCTGTCCCTCTCAAAATGAATAAACTTAAAAAAATATTTTTTTTAGGGGCGCCTGGGTGGCTCAGTTGGTTAAGCATTCGACTCTTGGGTTTGCGCTCACGTCATCATCTCACAGTTTGTGAGTTCAAGCCCTGCATCAGGCTCTGCGCTGTCTCCCTCTCTCTCTGCCTCTCCCCTGCTCACGCTGTCTCTCTCAAAATAAATAAACTTAAAAATATATATAAGAATAAAAAAAATTTTTTTTAAGAAATAAAGACAAACTACTGTACTCTTATGGTGATGAGCACTAAGTATAGAATTGTTGAATCACTATATTGTACACCTGAAACGAATAGAACACTGTATGTCACCTATACTGGAACCAAGATTTAAAAACTTCATAAAAATATAAAATGGGAATCAGTAAAAAAAGAAAAAAAAAAACCAGACAGAGAGACAGACCGACTGGGCTTCTCAATTGTTGATTACCATGGGACAGTTGTTCCCTGGCAGGCCAATCTGTTACACCTTTCACAAGGTTGGGGTAATATATCCTAGGACAGGGCATTTCACAAAAGAGTATGTTAAATGAATATACAGCTTAGTCTCTAGAATATAATAGTTGCTTCAATAGCTGGAACTCCTGACTTGACAGACGTATCTAAAATGCAATTTGTCTGAAATCGTATCTAAAATAAATTTTAACAAACACTTAAGGCTATACAAAATTATTTGAGTAATAGTAATATATGGTATTATTTTACTTGATGAGAGCTTCCAAAAACATAAGGGCAGATTGTTACAATTCAAATATATTAAAAATGTTTCCCCTTTATCTTTTTGAAATCTTTGAATAATAGGAAGCAATTTGGTTATGTCCCCAAACTTGAAATGAGAAATACTGTCACTACCATCGTATTGGAATTTTCTAGTATATACAGCAGAATCTAATCTCAATAAAGCCTAAACCCAAATTCATTTGAGTCCGTAAGTTAATGAAATAACATGTTCCTGGTTTCAGGGGAAAAAAAGTACTGGTAAGTATAATGGGACTGGGTAATTCTATTTCCACATTGATGTAATGAGACTTCCTAAAATTGTAACAGAGATTTAGGTGTCTGGTAAGCTGACCCTCAGTCTCACCCCTTGAAGTGTAACAGTATATACAGGAGCTAAAATGTAAGAAATCTAAATGTCAAAACAATCGTTCTCTATTTCCACAATATTGCTGAACGTAGTATTTTTAACACATTACTTTTAAGCACTAAGACTGATGACTGGTTTCTGAAATCCATAGAAAGAATCTTATTAAGAGTCCAAGGGTGAACTCTCCAAGTAAAGTGGGAATAAAGCACCTAATCAATAATAAATCTCTAACACTGCAGACTTTTAAAATATAGATATTTTTTGAGGAACATGAATTTCATACAAAAGGTGACTCTTAGAGTATAGTTTCTTTTCTAAGAAAATAAACTTCAAATTTTAATATAATAAATTCTGTTTGGGGTAAAAATCTGGGGCAAAGGAATGGCAAATTTAGAGAAAAACAAAGGATTAACAACAAGGCAAAAGGAGATCTTCTTTACATGTAACATGCTAAGAATTGGTTTTTAAATAGTAACAATTTGGTAATGAAAATCCCGTAACTTTAGGGGCGCCTGGGTGGCGCAGTCGGTGAAGCATCCGACTTCAGCCAGGTCACGATCTCACGCTCTGTGAGTTCGAGCCCCGCGTCGGGCTCTGGGCTGATGGCTCAGAGCCTGGAGCCTGTTTCCGATTCTGTGTCTCCCTCTCTCTCTGCCCCTCCCCCATTCATGCTCTGTCTCTCTCTGTCCCAAAAATAAATAAACGTTGAAAAAAAAAAAATTAAAAAAAAAAAAAAAAAAAAAGAAAATCCCGTAACTTTATTTGCTTTCTTTTCTAAGGTAAAGTGGATATTCTGGATATTCTGGGAATTAGATTTGAGCTTTTACAGATTATTCATACAATCAATCCACTAAAGGGTGAAGCAGAAGCTACTACAAATCTAGTCACATTTTCTAAAACTCATGACCAAAGTTTTGCCTTTGACGTTATTTTGTGCAATTTTATTTCTTTAAAAAAATTTTTTTAATGTTTATTATTTTTGAAAAACAGACAGAGCACAAACAGGGGAGGGCAGAGAGAGAGGGAGACACAGAATCTGAAGCAGGCTCCAGGCTCTGAGTGGTCAGCACAGAGCCCGACATGGGGCTCAAACTCACAAACCCTGAGATCAGGACCTGAGCTGAAGTCAGATGCTCAACTGACTGAGCACCCAGGCTCCCCTATGCAATTTTAAAACTATAAATTGCTTTCTCAGTAAGGCAAAATGTGAAACATTCTGAAGAAATCACCTAAAATTGATACAATTATTTCTAAAACACAAAATCAAATGAATACATGGTCACTCCTGTTGTATCGAAGATGTCTCTGGACGGAACAATACATATACCCACTCACTAAACGAAGTTGAGTTGCATAGAGAAAAAAGATCCTTAACCTAAAAGACATAAAATAAAACATGTTTATCTGACCATATGAATTTAACTAAAAGCATGAGATGCTCATTTAAAAATGTAGTCTTGCTTATGTGTAGTCTGGGCTAAATGATCCTTTGTACCAGAAAGATAATGACAAAATAACCCCATGTGTAAGTACTTTGGTACTTCCGAAAAAGGAAGATTGAAGTGGTTGATACATCTGAAAAGCTGATTATACATAATAATCAGCATGTTGGGGGAGCACCCGAAAATGAAACATAGATTGTATTCTGTTATTTTAAAAAGTGACAGGACAACTGAACCATTTTAGAAGAACATGAAAAGGCAGGAGTTAAAAATAGTTAAATTAACACCTTAGAAAAGGACGGTCAAGTTCGTGTTCAACATTTTCCAACGTGTAAAAAGAATACGGAGTAGAGGCTTTAAAAAGAGAACCGCACATTCTTCATGAGGCAATGTCAGAATGTGGAACCTGAGCTCAAATACACAGAAATGAGTGAGGGCCAGGTCTAATGGGCACGAGGCACCACATCCTCTGGCAAATTGGGAGGTAGATGGGCATGCTCCATGCTGTAAATTGAAAAAAAAAAACAAACAAACAAACTTGGGGGGCCCATTTTGTTGCGTGTGCACCTCTTGCACTAAATTTGAGTCAGCACCAATGACAGCGCTGCAGTCCTCTGTGGACTGATCAGGTGGCTGCAGAGCTCGGGCTCACAGCCGCACAGCGCAGCTGAGCGGGCAAGCACAGCCCACAGCCAGAAGCGGCTCCCACTCTCCAGAGCAAGGCGACCTTTAAAGCTTAAGTTTCCCGGAGAAAATGAGATGCTGCTGCTGAAGACGACACTATGGTAAGCGGTTATTTAGATCAGTAAAAGACTGGCTTGGGAATTTTTTTCCTTTTTTTAAAGAAAAAGTCAACGTGAGGATTGAATATATATTCAGTAGCAAGCAAGTGCATGCACCAGAAATTTGCTGCAGTGTCAGTGGAGGGGTTTCTTTTTAATATTCATTCACTTTGTAAATATACACGCTGCTTTCTTTTGGAATCGGCACTGAAATATACATAAGAAAATCACTATAAAATGGGAGGTTTAAATTATGGTATTGGTCTGAATTTTTCAAGTGCCTTGAAATGTTTTGCTAGGACATATTTATCCCAAAGAGACAAAGATGAATTTCAAAGTATTGTCTTAATATCTAAATCAAATCTTACTCTGTACACAATATTGACTATTACATTACCGCAGAGATTTAAAAAAAAAAAAAAAACAACACCCCAAAAAAACCCCAGGCACGACAGCCATTTTTTCCTATCTGAGTAAGAAGGGATATTCTCAAAAAGAGTAACAGCTTAAGATTCTGACTCTCTATTTGCAGAGAATGCCATTTTGTAATTTTAAGGCTCTGGGAAGATAAATAAGAAAGACTGGTAAAGGAAGGGAAAAAAGAAGGGACAAAATACAGGAGCAAGTAGGGGGAGAGAGTCCCTCTCTACCACATAGCCCCAATTGAAGGATTAAGCATTTGGACTATAAATGAAGGGGAGCTTTGTTAGTTTAATCACTGGAACAATTATAAAAGGACTCAACAACAACGAGGTTTATTGAAAATTTTGCCTAATGCTAACTGACCCATGCAGATGCCTAATTGTGTTTGCATATTAAAAGAAGGGTGTATCTGTTTGTTTCCAGGCTTTGATGGAATATCAGATATTGAAAATGTCTCCCAGCTTGTTCATCCTTCTGTTTCTGACACCTGGTATTTTATGCATTTGTCCTCTCCAATGTATATGCACAGAGAGGCACAGGCATGTGGACTGTTCAGGCAGAAACTTGACTACATTACCATCTGGACTGCAAGAGAATATTATCCATTTAAATCTGTCTTATAACCATTTTACCGATCTTCATAACCAGTTAACCCAATACACCAATCTGAGGACCCTGGATATTTCAAACAACAGGCTCGAAAGCCTGCCTGCTCAGTTACCTCGGTCCCTCTGGAACATGTCTGCTGCTAACAACAACATTAAACTGCTTGACAAATCTGATACTGCTTATCAGTGGAACCTTAAATATCTGGATGTTTCTAAGAATATGCTGGAAAAGGTTGTTCTCATTAAAAATACACTGAGAAGTCTTGAGGTTCTCAACCTCAGTAGTAACAAACTGTGGACAGTTCCAACCAACATGCCCTCCAAACTACATATCGTGGACCTGTCTAACAATTCCTTGACACAAATCCTTCCAGGAACATTAATAAACCTGACAAATCTCACACATCTTTACCTGCACAATAATAAGTTCACATTCATTCCAGATCAAGCTTTTGACCAACTCTTTCAGTTGCAGGAGATAACCCTTCACAATAACAGGTGGTCATGTGACCACAAACAAAACATCACTTACTTATTGAAGTGGGTGATGGAAACAAAAGCCCATGTGATAGGGACTCCCTGTTCTAGCCAAATATCATCTCTGAAGGAACATAGCATATATCCCACACCTTCTGGATTTACCTCAAGCTTGTTCACCCTAAGTGGGATGCAGACAGTGGACACCATTAACTCTCTGAGTATGGTAACTCAGTCCAGAGTGACCAAAACCCCCAAACAATACCGAACGAAGGAAACAACGTTTGGTGCCACTCTAAGCAAAGACACCACCTTTGCTAGCACCGACAAGGCTTTTGTGCCCTACCCCGAAGACACATCCTTAGAAACCATCAATTCACACGAAGCAGCAGCTGCAACTCTAACTATTCATCTCCAAGATGGAATCGTTACAAACACAAGCCTCACTAGCTCAACAAAATCGTCCCCAACACCCATGACCCTAAGTATTACTAGTGGCATGCCAAGTAATTTCTCTGAAATGCCTCAACAAAGCACAACCCTTAACTTCCGAAGGGAAGAGACAACCACAAATGTAAAGACTCGCTTACCTTCTGCGGCCAGTGCTTGGAAAGTCAACGCTTCATTTCTCTTGATGCTCAATGCTGTGGTCATGCTGGCTGGCTGAGGGGCCGCAGCGTTGGAAGCCAATGAAAGAGCTCCCCCCTGATGTACAGTTGGGAAAATATGCCCCTATCTAACCAGTGATTCAAGCTACATAAGTATTCGAGAAAGCCAGTCTCACATTTCTGACTCTGATGTACACGAAGTAACTTGTCTTAAAGAAAAGAAGTGCACAATGTCTCGGTACTCGCTGCTATTTTACTGTCTTAAGTAACACGACTGAGTTTCTTTCTTTTTAATGAAATGTTTTCTTTTTGAGGCTTCAATTTACTGCACAAAATGTAAAGCATCTAAACTTTAATATGTATTTTATGTATGTTTACACTGTCAAACATCTGGGAAAAAAAAAAATAAAAGGTCTATGCTCATAATTGTGTCATTTGGCTTTCTAGTCAGACCAACTTAATCTTTTCAGTGTAATTGAAATGACCGAACCATTTTTGTCCTAGGGTACTCTGGTAAAGTCTGTGCGGTAGATGAAAGAAATGTTGGAGGTATCCAAGGATTTTGCCACTAAAGTGTAACTGTGGTTGCTACCCCATGAATGGTTATGCCACATCATTATTTTACACACAAGCCATAATTGTTTCAAATCTAAATGATGTCCTGCTTCTGAGGAACTCTTGGCTACTTTACAGATTATATAATGGACAAAAGCTCTTCAAAAAGCTAGAAGACACTAGGCTTTGCATTTTAATCAGGAAAGTTTAACGCCTTTGTTTTGTGCATTTAAGGAAAGTATTAAAAAGATCATAAAAAGTTTGGCTTTACAGATATGTAAAGGGACAGTTTTAGCGCACATTTAACAGACCATTTGCTAATGAAAAATTTACACATTTACAAAATGAAAAGTCTTCTACGTATAGGAGAGGGAAATTTACCTTTTGTACGTCGGATGTCAGAATCTGATTTACCTCAATTAAAAATAAGGATAGATTAGGGATAAAATCCTGGGGGTCTGACAAACATGGGCACCACTAAGGAAGAAACAGGCAAGGAGAAGGGGAAGAAAAGACGGGGTTCACCTGGTGCCACAAGTGGGTGATGAACCCAATACAACACACAATATAGGACTAGGGCTGGGCCTAAGACCGATGTTCACACTCCAAATCAAACTGCACTGGGCGCAGCTAGAAGAAAATGGCGAATTTGCTACAAATACAAACAAGAAAGCCACCTTATGAATTAGAGACGAACAAAAGTAATAGCCACGAGTCAGAAAAAGAAGCCCCGAAACAAGGCTAGATTAAAATGCAAGACAGCATAGCTGAAATAGGCCACAAATGAGGGATTTAAATTGTGAGACATAAGGAAGGCTCTATTTCAAGCAATTCCTAGAGTTGGGAGAGTCCAGAAAGAAACTCTGATGCTCCTTCCTAGGAAATTTTAAAATAAGACAAGACTTCTTTCCAGGTTTGGGAACCTTTCTATTTGGAGAGACAGAAAAGGAATAACCCTCTAACGTACTCTTTTGGTTTTAAAGGCCCGGGCTTATGGGAAAACTACTGTTAAGCTTCAGTAAGGCGATTTCTCTCCTAGGCTGACTAGTACAGTGGCTCTTAAACATTCCCCTGCCCCAGCAAACCCAACTCACCATGTCAGGGAATCTCACCATGAAGAAAGGGGGTTATTTGAAAAAGTCCCCTAAATGATTTTAAAATTCATTACCTTTCTAAATGGGCAAGCTGCTTCCACTCCTCCTCGTCACTGACCTAGTCGCTTTGCCAGCGATGGTAAAGACTACTCACTTTCGGAGCGCCTGGGTGGCTCAGTCGGTTGAGCGTCCGACTTCGGCTCAGGTCATGATCTCATGGCTCGTGAGTTCTCGAGCCCTGCGTCAGGCTCCGTGCTGACAGCTCAGAGCTTGGAGCCTGCTTCTGATTCTGTGTCTGCCTCTCTCTCTGCCCCTAACCCACTTGCATTCTGTCTCTGTCTCTCTCAAAAATAAATAAACATTAAAAAAAAAAAAAAAAAAAAAAGACTAGTCACTTACACACCCTCCTCTACCAAACACTTATGTCAGGTTCCTGAAACACATAGAGTGAGCTTCCCAACAAGTAGGTTTCTTAGATGTCTTTCACTCTGAGGGTGCCAAAAATACAATGCTGTCTTAGAAGTGCTACAGGGACAAGTGACAAGAAGGTGAAATTATGGATTACAGCATTAGTAGCATCTATGGATTACACCAATCTTCCTGACTCGTCTGCAAAACGCAAAGGAAAAAACGGAGTAATTTACAAGTCAACTACACAGACTTCAAATCCTTAGAAAGAAGTATTACCTAGCCTTAAAGTAATTAGATAAACTTCCTTCTAAGGAAATTGTGTTCTTATCATTTTTAATGGAGGAGGACTCATTATTTGCCACTAAGACAAGAACTTCTGTATTACTGGCTCCATAAACATTTCAAAATACGTTAGTCCTCTCAAGCTCATTAGATATATATCCATCCATTCATCCACCCCTCGGGCTTAATTCTATTTTATAAGTAACTTTTGTTTCTCACCAGTCAAGAGGATCCTAATAAGAGCACAAATACAAAGTAAATGCAATAAGGGATAAATCAGCAGGGAAGCATGTGTCGTGCTAAAGTTCTAGGCCTAAATCCTGCTTCTGTCACTTCTCAGCTGTACAATCCCGGCCATGTTACCACTGCTCAGGGTCAAGGTTTCCTCGTGTCTAAAATGGACTAGCAGAACTTATTCATAGTGTTTGTCTTGAGGATCAAATGGTACAATTCACAGACAGCTTATCATACTGTCGTGCTCCCCCCCAACACATTCTATAGGCAGTAATGTTGCTGCTGCTGTTGTTAGGGTTATTATTATTATGGATATGCCCAAGCCCAATGCTTTTGAGAAATGCAGGTAGGAATACCCAAGCTCCACACCTTAACAGCAACAGAATGAAAGGGTGTGCTGGCTTCAGTCGCTGCTTTTCCACCCTCCAGAGTTCAGGTTCAGATGTATTAGTGGAATAGGGACGCAGAAGAAAGAGAAACATTCACTATCACAGCAGAAGAAGAAGATGTCTTCTGTGGCTAAATTAAAAGATCACAAGTATGTGCTATTCAATAACCTTCCATAACAATGCTCTGAAGCAGCAGCAAATTCCTTTAACCAACACCAAAGATGTCAAATGAAAGTCAACCTCAAATCTTTTTTAACATTATTCCTTATGCAATGCGTTTTAAGAACTAGACAAAGAATGAGAGCATGCATGGCAAACTACCAGCCAGCATCACAGTTAAAAGTGACAAGTTATATTTCTATTAAAATCAGAATCAGAACAACGATGCCTATTTTGTCATCAATCTTTTCAACATTATTTGGGACATTCCAGAACAGGAATAACAGATACAATTATATGGAAATAGGAAACACAATTATTACTATTAATAAACTGAAATAATGGTCTATCCAAAGGATTCCTCAGGAATGCCTTCAAAAGAATAACCTTAAATAACAAAAAGCATATGGAAACATGAAGGATTTTCTTGTGTGTTGGCAACAAATAGTTAGAAAATTACAGAAGAAAGATACCGTTCATTGCAGCAACAACAAAGCAAATATACAATGCCTGAAATAACATTCACATGAAATGTGCAGGACCGAATGGGGGAAAAGCTAAAAAAGCATTAATGCGAGGTATTAGCTGAAACTTGATGAAGACGATACACAAAGATCTCTCCATTCGTTTATTCTTTCACTCAACAGACATTTATTCAGCACCTGGAATCAAGGCTAAGTACACGAGACACACCTTGAGTGGTACCGCAAAAATGAGATTATTTCCGGTATAATTCGTGGATTAAACCAACTCTGACAAATATATTCCAATGAGATTCTTTTTCAGACATGACATAAAACACTTCAAGTCACCTGGAAAAATAAATAGGCAAGAACAGAAAATAGGAAGACACAGTAGAGGTATCTTACACATTCTCTGGAGGAGAACCCTTCTAAGACAAAATAGTAGGGACATAAAAATAGAAAGGCAGACAGCCACAGCACAGATATGCAAGCACAGTCAGAGTACTGTGCACAGAAGAGAGAATTCTAAGGACTTCCATTTCCTCACAGGGTTGTTGAGAGGAGTGAGGGCAAAATGACATAATTCATGTAACATGCTTAGAACAGTGCCTACCGCATAGGAAATTCCCATACATTGTTCACTTTAGAAGGAAAAAAAAATCACAAATCAAAGGGCAAGGGTAAGATTCAGTATTAAGAATACTGGGGAAACTGGAAAACAGCCTACTTCAACCCTCACTTCACATGATACACCTACACAACAAACTAAAAATGAGAACATTAAAAAGAAAAAAAAAAAGGAAGTCTTAAAACCAGCAGAAGAATTTAAACGTATTTATAAATCTCTGGGAGACCTTTTTTTTTAATTAGGAAAGGGGAAAAAAATCACAAAGAAATTATCGACGGATTTGTCTATATAAAACTCCCAAGTTTCTTTATGTGGAAGTAATGAGCTGAATAAAAATATTCAAAGAGAATACCACAAAGGAGATTGTTCATCAAAAGCTTACAAAATTGATAAGAAAAATATTTAGATTCCCAATGGGTAAATGGGCAAAGGACATAAGCAGAGCACTTAAAAGACAGGAAGTATCCTGAGAAAAGTATATGGACCTAGGGACTACCACATAATGACTGAAAATGAAAACAAAATGGGATACCATTTTCATCATTAATTCAGCAAGCAATCTTTAAGAAACAGAAATGAAGGCCGGAGAGCCATCACGAAATAACCACATTCACATGTTGGCACCACTTCTCTGAACGGCAACTGGCAGCCGTGAGGAGGAAACAGCTACCCTGAGCTGCTGCCTAGGCGTCTGGCAGTAGGACAACCCCGCACACACGCAGAGTCTGGCCCTCCGGATAAGGACCCGAGCTTAGGATTTCCACCACCAGTTCCTGCTTTGCTTTTCCTGGTGCACATTGTTAAATAACTACTCAGAGTTGGGCCCGTGAAAAGTCAGTGACTGTCGTCCCAACCACCTTCTAAGTAACAGGTGCTTGTTACCCTGTGCTGTTTCCTGCTTGCCGGTAAGCCGGGACGGAAGCATGCCTTCCTCTAGCTCATTGCTCCCAGCCCCCTGAACACTTCTGGGATCCCTAAGTAATACATCTTTTGACCTTACTTCCTTTGTGTGAGTGTGCCAAAACAAATCAAATCAAAACCACCCCAGGGTTCTCACTTCCCCAAAGTGGAAGCTCAGGTGCTTAGGGAGCTACCTGCCAGCACCATGTGTGTGGTTTGTGCAGGTCATAATCCACAGAGTCCTTTTTTTCCCTTAAATCCCTCCTCTTTTTACAACACAATGTTATGTTAGTTTGAAGTATACAACACA